TCGACCACTCTGTCAACAACCGCGTCAACATCTGTGTCCAGTTTGACATCAACCACTTCCACGCCCGTGACATCGACTTCTACACTACCGGGCCCTGCCACTGAGACGAATAACAACGAGTCTGCGGGGGACAGCACCAATGTCACCAATGAAACCTCCCTGCCCGACATAGAGACGAGTACGACAAGCATTGTGGCTGGGGACTCATTTGGGGAAGATGCAACAGCTACAACATCCTTCGACGTGCCACTCTTCTTGTTGGTTGTGGGGGGTGTTGCCGTCGTGGTGGCTCTCGTTCTCCTTGGATATTTAACCTTGCGGCGCCAAGCGCAGCAGGGTGACTCGTCTCAGCTGCCAGCTGGATCCAGTGTCTGACCTGAGCTTGTTTGTCCACGTATTTGCTGTTAAATGTCGGGCCAGGCACGCCAAGCGTTCTGGAAAGGCGACTGTGTCCTGTGGGGCTGTACTATAGCCGCTATAGGGTGACGGCCAGTTGGAACTCAAGCCTCTCCTTTCGACGGAGCAGCAGCAGGTAAAGCCGTAGTAGATGTAAACGAGAGTCCACGACGTCAGGTTTAAATAGCCAACGGTCCTCCGGAAGCAAGGCCATCAAGATTCCTGCATGCATTCAAAGAAACGAGAGAGTGCTGGGTTCCTTGTAGGGATCGGATCACCCCACTCTTCCAGGCACGTTGTTTTTGCCGGCCACATTTTCGCCTTCATCACCGGGCCTTGCAGGTTTAGTTTCACACACTTGCACCACCAATGCTCGCCCATCAAGGTATGGTTGTGATTGCAGATTGAACCGTGAGACGGCGGTTTGATTGTGATTACAGTGATTACATGTCATTCCGGTTAGCAGTCTTCGCCGAAGTGCGCGACCTATCGTACATGGGCAGGGCTTTTCAGCAAATCCTCTTCACATCCTGCAGGGACGGCTGCGGGCTCGAACACCGTGCGCTGAAGGGAAAATGAGAGACCGGAAATTGCCAAAGCTCGACTAGAGTCCCAAAGCCGACGAATTGCCAGGATCCGATAATTTTCTGGCACTAGCAATGTCACACGGTTGTGGCAGCTCCATGTCTTGTTTGAGCTCTGCGTGTCCACTCAACTGCCAGTTAGTGAACATTGACATAGATGTGGGTTTTTGCAGCGAAGAATAAGAGATGTGCCAGAAAGGCACTACTCAGAGCCGGGGGTTGCATGTGCAAGCCGCCAGCTTCTAAATCACGAAAGGCCATCGCAGCTGCACGGCAGAGAAAGCCTGGTGCCAAGATGTGCCGAGAAGCGTATTTGGCGAAGCTTGCCGTGCTTCTTCGAAAGAAGTTTTCACCTACCAGTAGGTGTTCATTGCGTTGTCAGAACTTGCGGAATCGAGATGCATTGTGGGCTTGGCCTTTTCCGTTCCAGCCAAATCTACTGTCGGATTGAGTGCTTCAACACTCCAAGGTTCGATAGGGCCGAGGCCATCCGCCAAGAGGCCGGCCTTTGATTGAAGTGGAATCTGAATCTCGCTGTGATCGTGCATTATGTCTTCACGTGGACGCTTAAGTCCCTTCTCAACTCCTTGCTGCACCGTCGCACCCGCAACCATTCCACCCTGGCCAGAAAATGGACAAGCAGACGCGCCAAGAAGAGTTGGACATGGCGCGTGGCCAGACTCAGCTTTCATTGAAGCGCTTGCAGCTGCTACTTGCCCGGAATGTACGGATTGGCATCAAGCGTCGTAGCTGCGTGTGAAGATGCTAGCAGCTAGCAGAATGACCTGTATGCAGCCTGCCAGTGTAATTTCCGGACACTGCTCTCCGATGCAGCATTTCGGATCGTTTAATGTATTGCTTGAGCCTGGACGTCGCCGTGGCAGCTGCGTGGCGCAGCTGCAAGATGGTTGACATGTTGTGGATTGCTGGTTCCTCCTGCGACAGCCCACCCAGAAGAGTCCCCTGAGCTAGTGTCTATCCCCGCGTTGATTTTATCCCATGGCGATGCAGCACTTCCGAAAATGTCTTGTGGCATATTTCCGCCCAGCTCCATGCAGCGGTGCAAAAGCACTTCGGTGACACGACAAGTACAATGACAGAGACTGCGTGTTGCCCGTCGCAGGTATTTGGCCGTAGCCGTCGCAGGTATGAAGAGATTCGAACTCAGCTGGATATACACAGAGGGCGGCCGGATGATTAGCTCAGGTGGCTGCCAATTTCGTCCTCAAGCCCCTGGAAGGGCAGAGGCATTGCAGCATGGAAGACCAGAAAATCCAGGCCTGTTTTGCTGGCTCGCGTGCTTCTGGACCGTCCCGATGTGCTGGTCAGTTGGCAGGATGCCATGCTAGCAGAGATCGCCAAGATGCAAGGCCAGGAAGGCGATTCGGCCGCATGCCTGTCATCACATGCACCTACTCTGTGTCCAAACTCAACGCTACTTTGTGCTGCTGTCTGTACCGAAGAAGCTCAGGTTTTGATTATGTGGTCATATGCTGCTCGGACCAGAGCGCAGAAGACTTCTGGCAGGCCAGTAGTCAGTACTTTTGTCAAGCCATGGGGAAATGCTCTTGTGCCAGTAATGTGAACTTCGCAGGCAAGGCTGACTCAGACCATTCGGCAAGTCACCGGATCCAGCAGCACAGTTATTTGTGTTCACGAGGCACTGCGACATGACCAGCTGTGTTCAATTAAGGAATTAAGTGTCTCAGGGAACGCGATTGGAGTGGCACCCTCTTTCGGTCTTGAGGACTGGAACGGCGGGGCCGGCAACGGCCTGGGCACCCTCTATGCGTTCGTCAAGGAAACGACTCACCCACTCGAGCGTTGCAAGCCGTGCAAACACAGAAAAGGAAATGCGTTTCGTGTTGGTCGCAACAGACTCTTGCTCGGCAGGCTTGCTCGAAGGGCAAGGAGATGGGCTTCGACTTGGCCCATGCAATGCCGCAGCCTGAGCATGTGCTGAATTTTTGCAACGGTCTACAATAACAGCAGCAATTATGACATTGGATGTTTGATGCTTGCCCTCAGGCATGCGGGCAAGTCTGTGGCCATTTACCACACCGCCGGGAAGGGAACACGTTTGGCTCCCCTGCCTGGTGCGGAGAACAACAACAAACCAGGTGCTGTGTGCTGTTGGCGTACCAGGGCTGGCGTGAAACACAGCTAGCATCAGCGGCAGAATCTTGCTGCACTGAATGTTAGCGGGACGGGCCTGCGCAAAGGGGATCAAAATATCTGGAAGAAGTGGTAAGACTGCTCTGTTCGCGAAGGTGTGAAGCTGCCTGGTCTCCTGTCAGTGGGTGGCAGATTCGAGCCCATTACAGTTCTGGAAAGCGTGCTGCGTGGATCGGATGCTCTGGATGGCTTTGATTCGGAGCCCACACAGTTGTTCTAATGTCCAAGCGAAGTGCTGACGCCGAGGCCAGACGAGCAGTTACGGAGCAGTTCGGGGTGGTCGTTGTTCTGTTTCTTGGCAAAATGCCGCATCAGACCTGGCCTTGGACTCCGCGTGGCATCTTAGGTATTCTGGGGCGACCAGATCTTTGTGCCTTCCTGTGGTATCCAGCAGACCGACTACCCCGCCGACATACTTGCCGCCTTGAGGACCCCTCCGAAGGGTCTCGAGTAGTTTCGGCGAATGCCATGCGCAGTTGCGAGATGTTGCGAGCAGCATAGCCAGATACGAAAATTCAGGGGTCTGTCAATGCTGACGGCTGCAGGCCCATGCCCACGAAACAACAGTGGGAGTCGGAAGCATTGCACCAGCAACCCGAGCTAGCAATAGTATGATTTTGCGATTCATGGCCTCGTCCGGAGCCTGAGTTGCGATGACTCCCGGCCTCTAAGTCTGGTGTCTTCGGAAATTGTGCAGACTAGGCCTAGGCCTGCATGGCAGGTCCAGGAAGAAGCATGAAAACAAACACAGCCCAAAGCATCTCGCTACTGGTTTGTCTTCCCCTTGTTGCTCTGTTGCCGGCAGTTTCCAGGTATGGCCTGATTGCAGTCGATTCCAAAGGTGATGCGATGCAATTGGAGAAGGCAAGTCTCCAGGTTGCTTCTGGCTTGTCTTGCCGACACTCCAATGTGACGGCGCATGATGCACTCAGTGTGGTGCCATGACATTGTGTTCGGCGAAGGTCACCTACGATGTTGCTGTGCAGTACCTACCCAAAGATGTCGCTCAAGTCGGTACATCCTTGGGTTCTTTCTCCGTCAGAGCCTCTGGTACCGGTATCCCGAGTAGCTATCCTGCTTAGCTCAGCAGTGGCTCAGGTCTCAGCCGCTTTGATGGATGCTCTTTTGGCAGAATTCGCCTCAGAGCTCAATGACAAGAAAGCTTGAAACCAGTCTGCATGGAGAGACTGCAGGCTTGCGCAACCAGGGCACATTTCTTCCTCAGAATGGAAACCGAGGCCTGGACTCCGATCCACATTTCTGGATGCCTCTCACCCTCAAGAAGGCCAGGATGAGCCGTTGCTTTAACTGCCAAGACGTTGAGACACACAGACTGCTTGGGCCGTCGTGCTGCTGCAGGCCGACTACATTGCTGTGCCTCGGCCTCTTGCTTGGGCAGGGCTTCGCGTCTGGCATTTGCGGTGCGCAGAATCGCTTATGAGCTCGAAGATTGAGGGCTGCCGGTTTTGGTTGGCCCCGGAAATGTATGCATAGGTGATGAGCAAGAAGGGCACGACAGCCGACGAAGCCGGAAAGCAGCCCGGCCTGGTGTCTCCTTGTTGCGCTGAAAGGTCCGACTAGGTGGTATTGAATTGGTGCCGCCGTTGATGCCTGAGCATAGTCTCTACAATCAACCAACGAAACGCTCAAGTTGAATCCTCTTTGCTAGCCATCTTCACACCACAACGGGAGAGAAGACGAGAACCTGGGCTTGAAGCAGCAAGCACTTTAGCTGCTACCTGGAATTGCTAGTGTGGCCGGAGACAAGCGCATGAACAGAGCATCACTGCAAATGGTGACATTGATTGTGTTGGTGAAACTCTGGATGTGAGCCCATGCACGCTGCGCTAAGGCACTACGATCGTATGGCGGAGTTCAAGAGCAGCTTCAAGAAGACAGGCCAACAGCAAGAAGGGTCAGAGGTTGAGGCATGTGACCGCTTCAACAGCGGTCTGAACACGGCCGGTTCAATATAAGTTTAGAGCTGTCTGTGTCGAACCTGCTGCTTGAAAGCATGTTCTGACAGGTGGCATTCTGGGCTGTGTGGACGTGGGGCAACAAGACACTCGACGTTAATGTCCGTGTACCCTCAAAGACGGAATCCGTTGAGGTGACAGCGCAGATGCAAAAGACTGCCCAAAAACGTTGCCGAAGTTGGTGTTGATGGCTCTCAAACCGGCTTGTAAATTTTGCAAATCTCAGACGACCTATCCGAGCCCACTCAGTCTTGAGGCCTACTGGTGGGACTATGGTCGATTAGAGCTGAAGCTTGCCTAGATTGTGTTTCGATTTAGTTTCGACAGACATGACGACTCCGACATGATGGAGTCTATCTGCCCACTTATCTGTATCACTAGCTGTGGCTTCGCTGAACTTCGGCATATCATGTCAAACCTGCCACTAAGGTATATGAGAAACAACTTTCTCATCACCGTCCTTCGGCATGTAGTGTTTGTGATTGTTTCCTTTATCCGGAAGGTTGGATGCGGGCAAACATTTGTTCTGCAAGTGCGAGCTTGCTCCATGGCTCATTTCACTGCAAAGTCGTTTCAGAACGATCCCCGCATCAGGAAGCCAACGCCAGCGCGCACGCTTTGCGGACCTTCCTGCGATTGCAGCAGCCGAGTCTCGAGAGCGACCTGGGTTTGCGACAGCAATGCCGCTTGGCTGCAGAGTTTGCGCCGCTGCCTTTGTATGCAGCTAACAGCATGCACACCCAAAAATATGTTGATGCCACTGGCATCCTTCGGACAACTTCTGCTTTTCGCGCGTTACTGGTGCGAAAGGCATCTATGTTGCATGTGCTCCGTTCATTGACCTCAGGGAACACGCTCGATGGTGTCACTGTAGACTCCACATCTGTCGTGCTGAACTGCCGAATCGGGGCCGGCAAGATCGGGCCAGGCTGGCAGACTCTGTCATTTCGCCTCTATGAAGCAAGCGACCTGCAGTTTGTACCGTCCGTCTCTCTACAGGCTGCGTGTTAGTCAATGTCGTGGCTCCCACCATAGACGTTGAGAACTGCATTCTGGCACTGTGCTCGGACATTAGCACGGTGATGTTTCTGATTGTATCCTTGTGCATGTCGTGATACATGCTTTTCCCCTCAGGTGAAGGTCTCGTCGTCGCGTCCCATTTCTGGAAAGGCTACATCCTGCTGTTGTTCTGGTACCGCGGCTTGAACACTCTCCATAGCTCCACTTGCCTTTCAGGGCGGCTTGCTGTACAACGTGGTCGAAGATGGCAAGGGCGACACATTGCCTTGTGACCGAGTCCGAGCCGATGTCTTCATGCCAGGCACAGCCGACAACCCATGTGTGGAGTCTTGCCAGTGGACAATCCATGCAAGTCGTCTTGGTTGTGCATCTCTGTACTTATGCAGCTTATGCATGCTGACAGCAGGCTGACAGGAAAGATGTTAATTGCTCCTGTGCGTGTTTCCTTGTTCAAAACAGGTTGAAGTCGGCAAGAGGTAGCAGCTAGAGGTTCAGTCAACCATAAGCCGGTACCACCTGAACCAGACGGCATCCACCACAAGATCTACTCGACGCCAAGCACCGATGGCGGAAAGGCGGTTGGTAAACAATATCTTCATGTTGTTTTCACGAGTCTGGCATTGGTGCACTTGGGCTTGCCAAATATGGCGTTGATGTGCAGAGACAGCATGCCTTACGTGCATCAACGCAGTCGCTCTCCCACTCATGTCTCCGGCACCGCGAGGTCTGGAAAGAGAGAGTTCAAGGAAACAATTTTAGTTTCGAGGGCATTTACAAGGCAGGATTGCCTGGCAATGTGCGCAATCCCTGCTGCTGGAGGAAAGCATATGTGGCATGCCAACTCTTGTTCGTCGTAATTAGAGGGCTTTTGTTGCTTGACCTGGAGGCCAACCAGCCTCTGGACGTGTCGAAGTGCACAGAAGCTGCAAACTCCTCGCACGATGCCGTAGGCAACAAGGTGATGCCCCTTGGATACAACACTCTGCGGTTCATCAGCCAGAATCCTTCGGGAGCGAATTGCCCGCAACCCAAGGCCTGTGTCTGCACTGAGCAACATCTTCATGTCCATGTACAGCTGCTGTGCTATGCGGTAGCAAGGAAGTCGCAGAGGGTTCGACAGGCGATGCCCTCTGAGGGGGCCTTTTAAGTTTCGCCAGTCTCGTGCACCTCTGCTAATCACAGTCTGCAGAGAAGCTGCAGAAATCGTTGTTGGCGTGCTGCCAGCAGACATCACGCACTGGCTATCGAAGACGAGCTTGGAGTCGCTATGCGGCCGCTTTGTAGCTCGGACGTTGATTGCAGCCTGTGAAACAGGCCGTGCCGATCCATGCCGAAGCATGGAGATAATGCAGCCGATAGTCGTGTCTCGTTGGGTCCAGAATGATGATTCGCTCATCGACAGTCTCGGAGGTCTCGATTCGTGCAGCAGCTTTCCACATGCTTTCGGCAATCCCGATCGGATGCCAAGTAGCTTTACAAGCTGAGTGTTTCAGGATGTTAGAGCTAGGCTGGCATCTGCAAAGGAGCACACCACAGCAAGATAACGTCTCTGCTCCAGTCCTGGACAGCCTGAAAAGAGGCTAAGCATCCATTGTCCCTGGATGCACGAGATCGATTTTCTTTGATACAGAAGCCGCGTGCAAAAGAATGCACCGGCTGTTGCGAGGTTGGAGTGTGCCAATCACTCTCGTAGAGGGTCAAACCAGGTGCAGAAGCCGACCTTGAAAGAAGCAAGCGGCGCGACCTCAAGGCTATCAACCGCCTGGTGCCTACCCTGCAGATCCTTTGACAGAGCCGAACTGCGAACCGGAACCGACACGCGGCTGCCTTTACTTAACTTTAGCCTTATTGCCTTATTGCAGTCTTATTTCTCCATAGCCTCTCCTGCATGAAAACTTTGTTGGATTGGCGACTCATACGGTCCGAGAATTTCAGCCCGAGGTGTCGATGCTCTGAAGATGGAAGCGCGTGACGAATTGGAGCTCCTGGGAAAGCATTGAGGGAACAATGTTTATTGGAAATACACCATACCCACTGTCAAACCGACGCCTTGCTATTGACTTACTGTTACAGAGGCGACTTATTCAAAATGTCACCATCTAAAAAGAGCTACGCCTGCTGTGCGTGCAAGAACGAGCACGGGCTTGTGCAAGAGCGTCTAAGGGCAACCATGATGTTGAGTAAAGCTTTAAGGTATCGGTATCTATGTGAAGCCATCCAGAAGTCAACAGAAGCTCGATTGGGTTTGGAAGGATCGCGAGCGATGTGTTTGGCTGACCACATCCAGCTCCAGTTGCAGCTGTTGTTGTAGCTTTCAGCAAAACCTGGTGTGCGAGCAAGAAGCAAGCAAGAGCCCGCTCGGGCGGGCGGAAGGGTTATTATATGGTGACTCGCGGAACCATAGTCCTTTGATGGTTTTCAGAAGCAAGTTGCAGCGGCATCTCCTTCTTTGCGACTTGTCAGGTCCTTCATCCAGAATCCGTATCCCGTGCCGCTGAAGCAGGCATCCCCCGGGAATGCGGTTCTGAAGAATCCAGCCAAAGGCTCCTTCTCGCGCCTACTCACGGTTAAAGTAGACTCGTGGAAATCCAGAGGCCTCGATGCAACCTATGCAGCGCGCTGCCAAGGTCCTAGCCGGGCGTTTGCGTCCAGTGCCAACCGCCCGTGGCTGAGTCGTCTATTGCTCAATCACGGGCCGGCGTTCCCGTCTTCACACTTCTTCGCCATGCAAGAAAGCAGCCAGAAAGGTGTCCGAGCTGCTGGCAGCCTATAAGGACTTATGCCAGTTCTCGACTGCTTGAATACAGTGGCCTCCAAGAAGAGTATTCATGCATAGTCAATGCTGCAGGCTTGCAATAGGTGCCGTGCTCCCTTTCTTCAGGACCAGCGGGAAGAGCTCGAGTTCCTGGAAAAGGAAGACATCCCAATGCGGGCGGGGCCCGTTGTCAAGACGGCTTTCACTTCTGCAGAGACGTGGGCTTCCTGATCGCTTGTTGGCAAGATTCCCAGTCTCGTTTTGGGGTTCCCGTGCAGGCGCAGCTGTGCAATCAGAGCATCTTTCAGTACGTCCGCGACATTCAGCTCAAAGCAGAGGCCAGTGCTGCGGTGAGGAGGGGAAATTCGATTTTTTTGCAGGGAGGGGGAGGGGGGGGGGGAGCCCGTGGCCTTCGAGGCGGAGCGGATGCGGCCCCCGGAGCCGGTGGCCGGCGCCGGGGCCTTGGAACCCTGGAATCGCAGGGTCCACTCACTTCCAGGTTGGTAGGCGTAGGCTTTGCTATGGTAGAAAAGGCGCATGCTTTCCAAGCCGTGGCACTTGAGGATCTGTTGCGGACGGTTGGCAAGAAGAAGCAAGCGCCCAGTCGGGAACCCAAGATCTTGGAAGTGCCAGTCACCCTGCACTCCAGGACTCCAGGCATGGCCACTATGTCTTGTGGTGCATGTACGACTTGTTAAATGATATTCACACTCTACTCAGCTGAACACTGCAGACAATGCGATGAAGACTTGCACATCACATCTGAAGAGCTAGAAAGATCATCGAGACCCTATTCACGGCATCTTATTCTTCCCTGTTGCCCTGCCCAGCCTCGCCGGTCAACCGGCGAACCAAGCGTGTTGGAACGCGTGCGGCGTAGATGCAGAGGGCGCAGGAGGCAGCCGAAGCAAACCGAGGCTTTGGTTCCGTAGTACTAAATTGGGCCACCGCATTCCTCGCTGCTATCTCTTGCGCCTTTGCAGTTTCACCACATGCAAATGATGACCGCCTCCCAGCACATTCCCTCGATTCATGTTGCAATACACTGCTGTGTCCAAACTCGAGCCAAATCCCCAAAGCCTTGTTTGTGTAGCTCATCAACATGGCCATGATAGAGCCCCTGTCTCACCGTTTCACGAATCCAGATGCTGCGAAAGAAAACAAAGCTGCGACTGTGGAGCATGTCGGTGGAATTCAGAAGCTTGACGATGCTGTGCGCCTGGCCTGAAGACGAGGCACGCGAATCCCCAGTCTCCGAGTCTCCCTATCCGCAGGTGCTGGAGCAGCGCCGGCAGCAGCGCCGCGTCGCGCTGCCCTTTCTAACCAGATGGCGCTGGCAGCGCCCCGGCTTCACTCTGGAGGGCCCTTGCAGGTTGCCTGGGCGTGGAGACGAGTGCGAAAGACAGCTTGACAGGCATTGACATGGCCTCTTGAGCTCAGGCGGGGAGAAGTCGGACTCTTCCAAAGCGAGCTGCCCGAGGTCGAGGCCAGAGGTTCCCAGTGCGGGGAACGTGTGCCGAACGATTCGCTTTGATGGGCGAGAGTTCTGCTAGTTCATTTAAACGGCTATGCAGAGAGCTGCCGTGGATGATTGTGAGTCAAAGCGTAGGAAATGATGAACTCCAGCAGCTTGCTTCCTTGCAGCAAAGCTTCATGCTGAAGACAGGCTTTCGGACATCAGGGCCGTTAGCCTTCGGTAATACCGTCCTGCAACTAAATTTCTAAATGCCAGCACGCTCCCATCACAGACCCCTTTGTCAGGCTGGCCAAATGCCAGCACCCAGGGATCGAGAGCGGCCTGCAGCTGCGGAAGTTCGGGAGGTACGCGGTGCAGTTTCGGTGGGTGCTACTTCCACCGAATTGAAAAGCAGCTTGCCTTTTGGGCATGCCTTTGTTTCCAGTGACATGCCACGCAGGAACTTCAGGACCTTTGCACAGAGCATATAGCTTGCATGCATTGTGACAGTCGGCCTCGGGCGCGTCGCTTGCCAGCGGCGGGACTTCGCCCACAAATCCAGGCTTGGACAGTGAGGTTATGTGGACTGGAGAGCCTAGATACTTTGGCTGCTGGAACTTTACTTGCAACTTCGAGCAGACAGGCCAGCGATCCTCGTCGTCGTCGATGCTCCAGCCTGAAATCTGAAAGTGGATGATATCAGGTCTCTAAACCGTGACGGTATCATCTCTTCTTTGATTTATGATGAGTACATCAATACATCAAGAGCAGCACCGAGGCACGCCAAGGCGGCAGGTTGCAGATTCAAAGGTCAGCTCTACTGACTCAGGCCAATCTCAACACTGCCCGGCGTTTCCTTCCGCCTTGAGGCACGACACTCCAAATGAGGGAAGACACCACCGGACACCACGCCGTGAATATAATAGTATACAATGTGATGGAAAATGGTATTATCATGTAACATGAAAATATAATGTAGTGTCACATAATTTCATAGACTGTGAAGGTATATAACATAACACAGTATAGTCTAGAGGGAGGGGGAGGCTCGCGTTTTGTTGCAGGATGTTGGGTTCGAGCTGCCCGATGGGAAGAAGCTCCTGAAGGCGCGAGCGACGGCCAAAAACTGTGGCAATAATGGAAGTTTAGCCCAAACTTTAGTGTGTTATGTGCATTATTTCTATGTTACATATCCTATGTTATATGTCACATACAACATCATATGTATATGTATATGTATATATTAGATCCATTATATATTATACTATACTATAATATATATTATTGTACTATGTTTTATTTTCCTGTTCGTTCATTCATTCATTCATTCATTCATTCATATCTGTTAGTATTGTCAGTATTAACACTACTATGGTTACGATTAGTAGTGTTAGTATTGTCATTCTTACTGTTATTATTTTCGATATCATTACAGTTTCCTATTTTATAGAGGCCTCTAAAGATTTTCTCCAAACTCGTTCTGGCCTGGCCCGGCGAGGAGATCGACTTTACCATTGATGCGGGGCGGAGGGTGGCTGCCAAGGCCTCAGCTGTGGGGCCTGGCTGACGATCTTGTGATGGACACAAGGCCCAAGTTTGAGACATGGGTGGATGGTTGTTCCTGGAGCGGTGCAGCGAGGTGATGGGACCCTCTGGCAGTGGCAAGTCGACTCGACATGTTGGCTTCACCTTGTCATGTGTGCTGGCACCGAAACGAGCTGGAGATCATTCAAGATCTGACTTCGTTGGCGTGTCATTGAGAGGTGCACACCTGTATGCATGTTCAAATCTCAGATGCTGTCGGGATGCAGACGACCCGACCACCTGGGCTCATCACCACCTCTGAAAGATTATGGTCAGCAATAAGCCGCCAGGACGACCTTGCTCGGAGTTCTCAGTGGTGGAGAACTTAGTCAGAACACAGGAGTGATAGTTCCGAAAATGCCCAAGACATGGATTTTGAAGAGCTGTCCAGTACAAGGCCGTGCTTCCTACGGCCGTGTCTCGGGCAAGTTGACGGTCGGTGGCAGGCAGCGTGAGCAGGGGTGTGCCACAGTCTTTGAAACAGTCCCAACACGTCAAGGGGTAGCTTTAGACATGCTGCGGACACCGAAAAATCCGCCGTGCCAGCATATGCCAGCGAGTATTCCTCTGCTGCACCAGGCCTGCTGACGACCTCAGGCCCTGGCCTTGGTGGCATAAGTTGTGCATTGACCAAGGCCACACCAGCCCAATGCCCGAGAGCATGCTAGGTTTCTGCAGAACGTCACCGGCTTTGTGCCGCAGGCACCATCCGACAGACGCATGTCAAAGGGTGCAGAAAGGGTCCCTGAATCAGGAGCTTGGCACAGCACCTTCTCTCGCCTGCTTGCCCTGGAAGGATGATGTCCTTCACGGAGAGCTCACGGTTGCGGAGAACCTGCGGTTCCAGGTGGCACCTTAGGGCTTCAAAAGCTGGGGCGGAATCCGGGCAGAAAGCAGTTTCTACTATGTAGCCAGTTCCTCACTATGTCGGGAGATCCCACATGTTTAATGAATTTCACTGCCTGGCTGTTCAGCCATTATCCAGTTTCCTTCTGGGCGGAGTAGGTAGGTCGACTTCCGCTTGCTGCAGAGGCCTCCTTGAGGCTTCCAGCTGGACGTACACGCGAGGAGGCCTGGCATAGGGACCCTTGACAAGAAGCGGCTAAGCTTCTGCCTTCGCTCGTCGCTGGTCATGGCTAGTGTTAGCCGATTGCGCTTGAAGATGTGTGCCAGGTGGATGCATGCGTAACAGCTGCAGCGCGCTCAGCAACAAAAATGCTCTGCAGACTGCATCCGTCCTTTTGTCGCAGGTTGCAAAGGATCTCAATCTCAGCAGCCTGTTAAATGTCCAGGGCCGAGAGATTCTGCCATGTCATGCTCTGTTAGCACGATGCATCGAAAGCTAGACGTGCAAGCAAGTCTTGTCCAGGCACGGGTGGGGACGCCTGAAAGACGTGGAGTGTCCGGTGGGCAGAGGCCCGCTTCTTATAGACACATCGGAACATATTCAGCGAGTCGCCGAGACAGATTCAAAGCGGCAAGCGGGCTACAAGCATCATCAGTTCAGCACCTTTCATGAGGTCTCTTGAAATTGAATGAAACGCAGTCAACCAAACTTGTTATGCCCGTCCATCGATATTCTGCCCAGGAAGCGAGTCTCCATTGCAGCTTCCTCAGAAAGCCAAGTGAACAGCAAGGCTGCACCAGTAACCAAGAGTTCCAGGCAACAGTTTCAATAAGTGACTGCGGCCTGTAAGCATCGTGCAGTACAAGACCTAAACGCGATCCAGAAGTCTTTCACTTATGCCGTTTCAGGGCATGGAGTTGGTGGCCCAGCCCTTGCTCCTCTTCGCGGACGAGCCGACCAGCGGGCTTGACAGCACCACAAGCCATGAGGCAGGGTGGCTGCAAAAGTCGAGTCTAGGCATGATTCGGGCTTTGGATTTATGTTCGTGATGACATATACTGCCGTGGCATTCTGTCACCCATGATCAAGGCAGTCTTCGCACGCCCAGGTTGTTCGATGCCTGAACGGTGCAGCTGCTTGCCCCCTGGAAGTTTACGCAGGTTGATCGAAGGAATCGTAGGTTTTATTTCAGGAGCAAAGCCGGACGTAAGTGCATCGAGCAGATTGCGCAGACATGGTATGGACGGCTTATTGTTGCTGTGTTTGCACAACTTGCACACATCGTGGACGCGGCAAGTGTGACAGCCTGTTCAGCCCGAACGTGCTAATTTTCGTAGAGGTGCCTCTAGATCTAGATCGAAGTATTGGTGTATTGCAGTGGGTCGCCATGCCCGCAGCTACCCAGGCAAGGCTGAATTCCACAGTGCGGGGCACAGTTCAACAGTGGTTCGAATTGCGTGCAGTATCTGTGCGTAGATGGGTAGGTCGTCGCCGTAATTCATCAGCCGCGCTACGAGACCCTGCGGCTTTTTGACGACCTGGTTCTGCCAGGAGCCGAGACCATGGCAGGTGCGAGAGACTGACATAAAGTACTGCTGTGCTCCCATGTCGCGAATGCAAGAACAGCTTTAGCATTGCCTAGTGAGTCGATAAGTTCAACTGTTCGCTACTCATCTCACGGTCCGGGCCCTTCGTGGCCAAGTCAGATGTCATGTAAGGCTGGCCTACGGCGGTTGCTTGGTCTATGCTGGCCCCACGGAGGCATGGACAGGGGCAAATTGGCATCGACGCCGGCCCAGTAGTGATCATGGAATTCACACTGGTTGGTGTTGCGATTGCGCGGTCCCAAACACCATGTGAAGGGGGTACATGAAGGGAAGGTCATGAAAGCACTTGCAGGACGCTGTGGAGCACTTCAAGACCCGTTTGCATGTAAAGCTGCCCCGGTTTTGCCAGACTTTCTGCCAAAGGCCACTGGTGTCAGTTTGGCTGTTGGTCGAATCGTTTGTCACGACTGTCCGTAACCTCTAAGAGCCAGTTCGAAACAAAATCTCATGGCATGCTGTGCCTCCTCGCCAGGTGACCTTCTCCAACAACACCAATCCTGCTGACATTCTGTCATTCACTCAGCTCCTTGAGGCATGAACCCATCGCCTGCTCTGAGTTTCTTAGGCTTCTCCCTCTTCAGACTCTTCAAGCTCAGAGCTCTCTCTCTCTCTCTCTCGCTGGATGCATGGCCTTCCGTAAGGTTGGATGCCATTCAGCCACCCATCAATGAACCTGAGGCTGCCCAAGATCTGCCGACACCAGCATATGTTACATGTTGGAAGTCTACATACATCTTGTATACACGGAGATTCAGTATGGGTGCGCTTGTTGGGCACAAAGCCACAGGAGTGGCGTCTGCGACGACAGGGAATACTGGAAACGCGAGGTAAGTCAACTTGGGTTTGCTCTCAAGTTCATGGCAAATAAGATTCCAGAAAGCTGAATCAACGACACAGTAAGGTTCTCGATTCACGAGCCAAAAGCTGTACCGAAATCGCTTCCATGTTACTGCTTGTCTGAGGCACAGGGGTTTAACACCTTCTTCAAACAGCAACCGTTCACAGTCATGGAGTTGGGAAGTGTGGGCCCATTTGCGCCCAAGACATTGGAAGATAAGAGTGCGGTAGAAGGCATGCAGCTATTTTGCTTGAGAGAGGATGTCTTCTTGCTCTGCACCAAAAATGAGCTTTGTCTGCTTGTTGTGAAGCGCTTGGAAGCATGCTCTTGCCGTACTGCTGCACCCTAGCCAACTTTGTAGCACTGTCTCTGTGTGTGCGTGTGCGAGGTTTGCGCAAGTGCATGGAAATCCTGCGCGGCTTTGCAGGAGAAATCGAGATGTGATGACAGTCAGACAGTCCTAATTTCTTCTGTCCGTGTCTTGCGAAAGGGGGCTCTCCAGGGCTTAGACATGCAGGACAAGGTGGAGCAGATGGTATTGCCGGCCAGCATCTTCCGTCGCACTCGCCAGCCTTTCTTCCGCGCCGCCACGGTCTCGGCACTTGCTGCAGTTTTCTCAAGACACTGACCAAGCGGCCATGGCATAGACTGCTGGTGGCAGGAAGGCTCATCCCTGGCTGTCGCGAGGTCTTGATATACATGGATCGCTCGATGCTGCAAACAATCAGGGCGCGCGGTTCTTAGCAGCTTCCATGGCTGATTCCATGAGATTGTGCCTGGCATGGTCCAGCCACTGGGAATTCAGAGTCAGACCGAATCCCACTGGTCTCTCGCATATCCATGCAAGTGAGTGCGTGCCATCAGCTTGAGTGACATAGACATGACATGTCACGACTTCCTTCGTTCTTGCTACACACATACCATCACATGCCTCACCTTGTCAGCAATGGCGGAAGTTATGCCTTGCAGTGCATGCAAGCGATTCCAAGGTACGTCTCCCTGGCCATTAACTACAGCCTGTGCTGCGTGGCTGTGCTGCTACTTTGCATGATCCTCACCTACAACCGACTGGACTGAGTGAGAATGCAATCGCGCAAGTCTGACTCCGTGGCAGGTCATTTTCCTAGTCGAATGAGTGCTCCAGCTGAACAGGACCAGTTCCTGATGCAGTCAGCCCTGGCCGCGCTGTTCCTGATGCTGCTTCAGGTCCGGAGGGTCCCTGGGCACGTGGCCAGCAGGCACAAGGTTCATGATTGCTACCTGCTACAGTTTGACATGACGGCCATACACACAGCCATGATTCAAAGGCTCTACAGGAGCACTCGCAAAATGCTCGCTAGCTGTCAGCCCTTCCCTTCTGCATCTGTGCACCCATGAAGGGTGTTGCGGCGCAACAGGTCTTCGGCAGGGGGCCCTGAGCTGTGATTGTCGCAAGCGTTTGGGGCGTTTGGATTCGAGGGTCGTTCCTTCCATGAATGTACCGCTTCCTTGGAGGTTCGGCCACGTCGAATGCTGTTGTTACGAGATGTGAAGATCAGAAGCGAACCTAAAGCACAGGCAAGTCGGAGGCGGGTATAACGAACTGTCACGAGATCATATAGCGACGGTTTCGCTCCACAGGCCTTGGACCTAGTGCCTTGTCAAACGGGATGTTGGCACGATACCGAGACATGCTGCAGTGCGGTGATGTCGTGGATCGGCTTTGTTCTTCCTTCGTCGCATCGGATGACTTTTTGGACTACGGATTCCGGATCAAGTGGTATGTTGGCACCAGCAGGCATTGCCCATGCATGGCTCCTCCAGGCGCCGATTTACTCACCACCTGGCGAGAAGCAAGAGAACGATCCTCAGTGAAAGCTGGTTGAGGAGCTTCGGAGGTTTCAGGCTCGTGGACGTTGCGGCGTTGACACGCCATCTACTGTCAGACCGCACCTAATGTGATGACGTACCTGTGAAGATTTCGTCGATGTCTCAACTGAAGAAGTCCCATGTGTTAGCTCTCGGAAGTCCGCTTGTTCTGCTTTTCCGAGTCTCTCACGATTTCTTGGTACGTCCGCTGAGAGCAGAGATCACACTCACCGCAGGTCGGGATGCCGATGGTTGCTTACTTCGTGGCCAAGGATTTAACAGCTTGCATCGAGGCCGGGGCGGTGCAAATCCATGCTATGAATTCGCAAAGAGGGTTGGATGGCAGACGTGAGGTCACGTTGTCGTCAGCAGTCTTTGCTGCAGCCTATGGCTATGCGAGTGGCAGCCAGGTATCCTTGCTCGGGCCTTGGCAGACAGGCGGTGAGAATGGAACACCCTTGAGCCCGGCATGAGAACATGTTGTCCGGTTGCAAGCAAGGCGCCAGCTCTTTGCAGGGTCTTGGGCCTTTGTCTTCGCGGCTGGAACCCCAGGACACAGTTTGACCCGCAGAGTCTGCAGCCTGACATGCTGAGATCTTTGGCCTCAACTACATCTTCAGCATCATCCTGTCACCAGGTGGAGCGACAAGAACAGTCATAGCTATCGTAGCCGCATTCGTAGGATCCTTTGTTGGATGATGTTCCCTATATTACGAATCATCAAGTTAAGGCAGTCCATACACAAAAGGTACAGGGGTGCACGAGCCCGGTGCTCACTGCAGTCTCCAGTTGCCTTATCATAGCTTGGTTCTAGAAAAGTCCAGGAGGCAAGATGTGTGCCGTCGCAAGTCCCACCGTGCTGCCCTAGCGCAACTAACTTACCAAATCCATAAACTACCGCAGACTGTTGGGAGTTCTAGCAGGCCAGCTCACGCCTGCGATCATGAGAGTTCATGTGAGGGCAAGGATATGTGCAAGATGGCAACCGTTCTACAGAACGATTTGGTGTCAATACAGGTCATGCACGGGGCACGGGCTACTGTGCACCCGTTGGGGACAGGACTAGTCGCCATACTGGTGTGGTGTTGGAATGGCTTAGGCCTTTTCTGAAGCAACATCCAATTAATACACAGATGGGGTACCGACTCGAGCATTGATATGGCACGAGATGGCGCGAGCAAAACAGGAGCTGCTCGAAGCCAGACGCATCTCTTGCGCGCAGAGTGGAAAGGCTAGGGACTCCGCCTTGTTGTCCTTAGTCAAGCAGCAAGATTTGAGTCTACGTAGGTGCAACTTTTACAGACAAGGCTACACGATTCAGCAGGAGTTCGTCATCTCGACTAAGTGGAGCCAAAGCTTGTTTTGTGGAAACTAACTACCTTGCCTAATCACAGCTGCGATATGTGGTCGACCTTTCTGCTCGCCAGGCGCAGCGCAGATGAGTGCAGTCGTTACATCGTTCCTTTCCTTCTGCACAGCCGGCGTCTACCAGCGTCGAACTTAGAATGCTAGACATGCACGCCGCACCCCGGATGATGCATTCTTTGTGTGTTTGCGAGTGTGTGCACGCTATTGTGCGGTCATGAACGTTTATAGTTTGCATGCTGGTCCTTATGCAGACTGCCAGCAGTCATGGGAGTGATGTAGTGCCATAAGCAGCTCCTTGTGAAGATCTCGTGCTGCCATGACAAGTGTTGCTACTTTTTGTTGGAAACAGGATGTTGTGGCTAACCGCTATCACGAGGACTTTGTGTAGGTCCAATATCTTCGGTCAGTGCTGTCATTCCATGTTTGCATTGCGCATAGCTAGTGCCCTATTACCAAGGAAATTAGCCATCCCCTCTCCCCTCGACGGGGGAAACTTGGGGACACCAAGTAAATGCATTGCTGGTAGTGTTCAGCATTTTCAGCAGCAGTAGCAGCACTAGTAGTAGTCGTCCTCGTCGTAGGAATATTAAATCGTACAACTGGTACAACAGAATAAGTCGTACCAGTAGTACTAGCAGCATAGCTAGTGGTACAGTTCTCTTAGCTTTAAAAGCAACCCTCCAGCCACCACTCCCCCAAAACAAAAACGCTGCTGGGCATGTCGAGCTGGAAGCTTTGCAGGGCCGGTCCAGTCGGGTGTGTTGCCTTGTCGGGGAGGTCGGTCTTTTCCGTCATATAAATCCAGTCGGGGTCGCTTGGTTTGCGGTCGGGGGCCAATTACAACTCTGATAACGAAGCTGCTTCTTTTGCTTGTGTCTGAATAGCTCTGCGGTTGTGTAGTGCGTGTGCTTCCTTTAGCCGTGCTATTTGCGCACCTTGTGAATCTGCTTTTGCTGTTTCTGCTACAGGTGTATGTTGGTTATCACGGGCTGGCTACGAACAGCGGGGCGAAAACAACATGTTACTCGCAAGCTTGCTTCGCTGTGAATGGGCATTCAATCAAAAGGCATATTTACAACGTTGGGATTACAAGCCTCTACCTCATCATGTCCGGCAAGTTTGCATTCTGTCCGGAGCACAACTAATGGGTTTTCTGCATCTGGTTGCGCAAGGCCACAGCTGAATGAGATGGCCAGCATGTTTGAAGGACGAGGTCTCGTGTCTTGCAAGTTCATCCTTGCTGCACGTGCGGACGTCACAGATGTACTGCTAGCATGTCGATCGTGATGGTACCTTAAACGTGGAACTTGCGCTGCATATGGTCAACCGTGGGGCAAGTGGAATGCCCGTCAGCATTCAACATGCATAGGCAACATTCAAATGTCTGGACAGGCTGGATGGTGCCAGCATTGAGTCCAGTTCGGTGGCTTTGGGGATACTTGCTCACAGCCGAGGTGCTGGGGGAAACTCATTTTGAGACCAACCACTCTGTACTGAGAGTCACGTGCTTGGCCATGGAAGAGATCTCAAGTGTTGAGCAGTTCAAGCAATGGCGCAGAAACTGAGCGGCCCCATGCTTGCTGAACAACCGGAAGCCTCATTCAGAAGTGTCCGTGGCAGCATCGCTGTCGCTGTCGGGCTTTCGATGCTGCGAGGTGCCAAACTTGACACCGCTGACACTCGAAGGATCGGCAGGCACCTTGCGTGGCAAGGCGTGTCACTGTCGGTGCAATGAATGTGAGCGAGAGCTACGCAGCACGTCCGTTCACAAAAGTTGCCATAGCAACATTGACATGTCCGTCCAGTACTTGCCGCATCCCGCCGCGGTTCGACAAGCAGCAATTCCTTACGCCGTAGATCAATTCTCGCGAAGAAGAGTTGGTCAATGCCTTGACAGGGCTACGACGTGGAATACCTGCACGACTGCAAAAATTCCATGGTGGGCATTCAGGAAGCACAGCAAGCATAGCAGTCAAGGCGGTAAGTTGTTGCCAGAGCTCTAGTCGTCTCGTCGCCGGGTCGACACGTTAGCCTGGAAACGAAAGCCGTGCGAGGACCAGGCTGTCAGAACTCTCCAAGAGGCGCGGTCAGCAATGGCAAAGGTAAGGCAGAGCGCTGTCGGCGAGGGGAGTATGCATTCGAAGCTGATGCAGGCGTGGCTCGACAACCGAGGTTGGGTGTGTTCAGCCCGGAGCTCACAAAGGGGGCCACGATGCCCATTTGCACGTAAGGCTTCGGGACGGCTGTGTTACCGCCAGCGGAAAACTGCAATCGAGTCAGCTCTCACGAGCTTGTTCTTGAGGGACAAGGTCGGCAAAGAGAAGCACACATGCAGAGTGCAGGGCTTGCAAATGGCATGCACGCTGCTCGCTGCTGAAGCTTCTCTCTGCACCAGCGGAGTTAAAGCAAAGTGCTGTAGGTTTGTTCAGTTTGTATGCTTTCCGGCTTTAGCATGCATCCTTCAGCTTCGCATAAGTTTGGGAACAAGCTTGCATTGCCCGACACCGAGACGGCACCACTGCTACTACTTGGGATCCTCTTCCGCTTCCTTGCAGGACGAACGATTTAGTGGGCAGCGTCAGGGACAGCTTCCTACACGGAGACACACCATCCGCATGCCGAGATCCTGAAACAGAGGCATATTTTTGGGGAGGGAGTTGCACAGGATGTTGTTTGCTGCTCTATGTGAGTGCGCAAACGAGCGGCTGGGCACGCTTCTTTGGCCAGCAGTGCACCAAGTGACCGAGTGATGCGAGTCTTTGCCGAGGCTGCTGGCAGGGATTTGGCTAGTGGGCGACTTTCATAACAGTCGTTGTGTCTCAAGCTCCTGAGGTCAGAGTTGGGTGCTTGGAAATTGGCGGGCCACTTCTTCAAGCTTTTAGTAGGCCTGGTCTGCCTGTTCGCGATTCTGCAGTCCAGTCCTCCTCCTGAGTTTTAGGATTCTCAGAAGCCGAAGCACAAAGAGACAGAAAAAACAGTCGGACTCAATTCTACATGATGCCCGGGCTGCTGACACAGGCAGTTTGTCAGAGATCCAAGTCTGAGCATATTGGGGGAAAGCGAGGGCAGATCTGTGGTCAGGATCGTTCTTGATCATCTTCCTCTTTGCCGAGGCCCTGCCTGGAGCAGCCTGCAGTGGTAGGGATTCAGGAGAGACGCACGATGGCAACGCAAGCATCTTTAAGTTCGCGGTAGTGCACGCTTCAGCCAGGTCTGGATCTTCGGAAGCCTTCATCTGGACTTCAAGGCCAAGCGCTCCTCTTGTGCAGTCTGGGAAAAGTGACCAACCATGCCAAGTACATACATGGGGCAGTTGTCTAGGTTCTTCGTGCCAGCTAAACACTGCAGTTGTGACAGCCATGCAACTGCGAAGGGAGGACATTTCGGTCGACAAGCCGTACAAGGTGGAGCAGATGGTGTCATCTCTCTGTGGTGAGCGCAAAACGCCTGAGTGACAGTTTCTGCCCCAACGTATTGGATTGGCAGCAGCACGTGCACAACATTAGTTTGTTGAGTCAAGCAAATGTGACACACAGTTCTGGTTGAACGAGCTGGTTTTAGTTGTTCAAGGCTGATAAAACCCCCCCTGGCGTATGCGAAAATTCAATTCATAAGCACATGAATTCAACGGTTCGGTGCGGTTGCGGTTTCGAAACAGCGGTTCAGGTTCATGCGGTTCGATTTCTCCGGCGGTTCCTGCCGTTCGGTTCGTGGTTCCTAGCGGCTCCTAAAACAAATAACCCTTGTAAAACAAAATATGTGCCCGTACACACATCCCAGATGGCATGGGGATACGCTGTTCGCAAGCTTCAGACCCCAAACTCCCGAATTGTGCACTCCCCCGCGTGGCTGAGGGCCCCTTCCCCGAAACACGCGGGAGTACCCTTTTCGCAAGCTGCAGGCCCCAAAACTCCCGAATTGTGTACTCCCCCGCGTGGCTCCGGGGCGAACGCGCGGGAGTACGCTTTTCGCAAGCTTCGGGCCCACAAACTCCCACCCAGTAGTCCCTAACCCGGATGCTCTTGACGCTCGCTGTTGGATGCTCCTGTATGCTGTTGGTTGAACTAACGTGGCCAGAGGCCTAGTCAAGCACAACCCGGATGCTTTGGATACTTGATTTTGGATGCTCTGGAATGGGTTTTAACCTTTCAGAGGATCCCATTACCCGGATGGCCTCGATGCTGGATTTTGAATGCTTTTGAATGCTGTTGTCCAACCAGACCCAAACACGAATCCGGCCTGTACATGATTCTTCTGTCAGATTTCCTCGCATAACGACAGAAGGTTCCATGCCTTTGAGAAGGCAAGCTGGGAACCGACTTGACGGTTCGGTTCGACAAGTTCGCGGTTCCTGTTTGAAAAATCATTGAAAAATATCCTGGTGCTCCTTGTGCCTACAAGGAGGAAAATAATTTCGCACTCATCGTCTTCCTGTACCTCTCAGCCGATTTTGTAGCATTGGTTTTTTGATGTACTGTTGCTCCTGCTCATTCCTCCGAACTATCGAGCCATCCAAGGGTTCAAATGACTCGTAGTATATTTTGTAGTTTCTTTTTTTGAGATAATTACATTAGGAAGTAACATGATTTACAACCTATGTGAAGAGTATATAATTCTCTAATAATCTCTGTGCTTTGAAGTATTTCTTTTCGAAAGTCCTCTGTATCGTTATGTTACAGTTATGCTCTATGGTTAAAAGCTTGGAAGTTTTGGTTGTGCTTTTCACGAAAATCTAATGATATTCTTGTTTGATTAGAGATTCTAAAATCGTAGGTTGTGATTTTTTATATATTTATATATGAAATATTGATATGATCGAAAAATATTGATTAAATGATTTGTATAATAGCTGAAAGATGAGCTTATAGTTTCTGACGAGAAAAATGATAATGATATTTTATAAGAAATGATATCTTTATATGAAATTCTTAATTCAATTGAATTCTTGATATCCTTTTATATTTCTTTTAAGGAAGAAATTTTAAAAAATTAAAAGAAAAATTATTTGGTATTGGTTTGGGCATGCATGAATCGGGTATTTCTTCCCTTCTCTTTTATTTTTTCTATTTGTTTCTTTCTTATCTAGGCGGAGATATATATGTCTATCTTAGCTATGGTTAATTAAAGGTTGTTATCGAAAAATAAGACTCGATATGTGGTTTTGAGGAGGTTATAAAATAATGGTCGATATATATATATAGATTGAAATGATTTGAAATTCATTGTTTGATATATATTTTTTTATATAAAATGAATAAAATATCTAATTTTATTTCTATTTAAAAAATATAAATATATTTTTTTCTTGTACGAGTTCTAGTAGCAAATCCAAACCTAATAAGGTTGGGGTTCGGTGTGGTCGGAGAAGAAGGGTTTAAGGTTTAAAATAAATCCTAAATTCTAAACCCTAAACTCTCGACCATAGGGGACCCCAAACCCAATAATTTAATATATAAGAAAATTATAGAGCGATGATATGCTAAAATTACATATATATATATTATTTCGCATTTTATTTTCTGATAAATATATATAGATTATTGATCGATATTATATATTTTAATAATATGGTGATCGAATGATTATCGATATTTAAAATCGAATTTTCTGATTTTTATTAGGAAGGAGGTCGTATTTTTATAGAGAGAATAATGGCAATGAAATTGGTAGATTTAATAGAATACCATAATATATAGAAATTTAATTGAAATTAAATATGAATCTATAATGAATTAGAATGTTTCGTAAAATTTTGCTTATGACCAGATTATAACCGGCACTTAAATCGAATATTTGGAATATAGATCTGAATTCTTTTAATCTTTCAAGAAAAAATTATAAATTAGAATTTCAATTTTAATAATTAAAATGAAATCGAATCTTATATTATATCGAATTTTTTTATTCGGTATTTAAATTTTATTAGATAAAGCGTAGCAAAAATCTAGAGCATTTATTAATGTCTATCTTGGCGATTAAATTATATTTTTGTCATCTAAATATTCATAATTAATCGAATAATTAAGTCGATATATATTTTTATAATTAATAAAAATAATTCTCATTATCTTTATAAATATATCATTTTCATAATAATGACTACAGATTAGTATTTATTCTTATTATTATCATATCTATAACGACTACCACGAATAATCATAATTGTCAATCATCATATTCTGCCCATATACCAGCCAAGCTGGACAACCACTAAGCAGGCTGCCAGACATGGAGACACATACCAGGGCAACGGGCTCTTAAGGACTTCTACTTCATATTTCACACTCCACCTGCTGACCCCTTACCGGCTACTCCTTGGCCAAGGTCGCCTTTCTTATTGGGCTCCCCCAGATCTGAGCAGCTTGCAGGTTCTTGTGGGAGACAACCATTGTCTTTGTTGCAAGATCTTTTTCCATCGAATCTCCAGTAGTAGGCCGGCTACGCAAACCCTCCCCCGATACAGCTTTCCACCTGGCGGTGGACGAGGTTTGGAGCTTCTCCGAAAGTCGAGCGCGCCCGTACGCGACAACACGCCAAGCATAACTTGCTCACCAATTCGAGAACGACTTCTACACGCGGCTCCCTCGTCTTCCAAAGCCGGAGCGCAGAGTGCCGTTATTTATCCAGCTGAGTTTCTCAAACTACTAGTTTCTTTAGGACAAATCGCCCGACTTACCCTAGACGCACAAGAAAACATAACGGATTTCCATAAGAGAAACTACACAATAAAGCGCAAAGTTTCGCCTCATATATTGTCGACATGCTTAGGCCTGTAGGTTCATATCTTATCAATCATCATATTCTACCCATTTCTCACAAGCGGGGGGGGGGGGCAGACTCTTAAAGGCTTTTATTTCACCTTTCACAATAATAATATTGCCCTCTACTACCACCAATACAAAAAGATGCCGTATACAAATCATTCCTAGAAGAAGAAAATAATCAACACTCATCTATAAATATATCAAAACAACCTATATAAATATATTAAAAGAAATAAAAAAAATAATAAAATATAAATTCTCCAAAAAAAGATTATAAAAAAAATCTAGAAATTTTTATTCTCATCATTTATATATAGTAAAAATAAAGAATTTTAAGATAGAGAGAGACAGAGAGAAAATAAGAGAAAAAAAGAAAATTAAAGAAATAAAAAGATATAATATCGTTCTTATTCTTAATAGAAGTAGCCAATAGAGAAAGTAAATAATATAAAGAAGAATTGAAAGAAATAAAGATATAAAAGCACCTACATAAATAGATATAGATAGAAAATTATACAAGCGATGTAAAAGCTATAGATAGACACTAGAATCAAGAAAAATAGAAAATATTATAAAATGAATTCAGATAGATAAATTAACAAGCTAGACAATCAGCATGGAAAGTTGTGTAGTGTCAATAATAACCGTCATCGTCGAAAATTCTGTCGAGTATATAAACCTGTTTTGTTGACTACCGACCTCATTCTAAGTCGTAATATCGTTGTCGATCGATCTTTAATTAAAGTATTCGTGGGCTTGTTGCTGACAGGCTGCAGAACTAATAGGTCTATTCCATTCTCCTGTTTCTGCAATCAATTGCCACAGGGTCCCATGTCTGTGTAAGTTAGTCGGAGCGTCGCAGAATGGCTCAGTGGACCCGCCGAATAAAAAAGTGCACCCAACAGGATGACAGTGAAATCCAGAAGTGAGTCTGCAACGGAAAACAAAAAACACGGTCCGTGCATACGCAAGCTGAAGCAACACTTGTGGATTTCACGAAATTCTGCCGGGGGTAGCAAATTTTGGGGTTCAACGAGCTGATGCTTGGGTCGGTAGGGACGGTGATGAGTAGCAGGAAGCAGGATATTCGGTTCCCCGTGGCAAGTCAAGGTCTCTCTATGTCCTTTGTTTCAAAGGGAAAATCTTCACACCCGAAACTGGACGTTAGGGCGGTGAACTTCCCATCTGCTTTGGAACAGCCTGAAATGTTGGCATCAGCCAGTCCAGTTTCGGGATCCAAGAACAATTCCTTTGACATGTTCTCTCTCGGTCTCCCTCGTTCTCTCTCGCTCTGACTCTCTCTCTCAGTATGCACGCATTCTAGGTGCTTCGATGCCCACAACATAACAAAACAGCAGCTTGACGGTCGCACTAGGTCCTTGGGATGGGTGTAGCAAATAGCAGAACCACATCGACTGCAAATCAAGATTCCAGCGTGGGGCATCTGAGTGGGTGAGCGCACCCCGCCAAGTTTGCGGGGGAACCTTCGCCGTTTCGGTGTCTCTTTGGGCTACTGTGACACACACAGCGAGGGGCTAAAGGAATGGAAAACGAAGCCTCGCAACAGCAGTGATACTGAATCCTCCCTGTGCTTATTGTTCACTTCAAGGCCGTTTATGCCTACACCTTTAGACAAACAAGCAAACCGTTGCAAACAGCCTGTATTACCTTAATGCACAACGCCAGTGAGATTGACTCTGGGGCGTCCGAATCAGCTGCCACTGCCAATGGATTAAAGACTCAGAGAGTCCAGACTCCGACAGTGCTGGAGCCAAGGTCCTTCTGGGCTACATGTGAAAGTGTGTCAGCACGCAGACTGCCCCCATGGCGCGAGTGGCGATCCTCCAACCGTTGGAAGTGCTACATGTCTCAGAGCGTCTACTTTCGTTACCTAGGTACATCTCCATGATTCTTTCTGCGACACGATATTTTACTGAAAACGTGGTCACGGGAACACCTGACCAATGTCCTTAAAGGTCATGTGCGAAGGTCTTCGCGCAGATGTCCACTTTTTGGGACTAAAAGAACAACGCCCGGAGCACATCTTGCGGGCGCACTGCCCTTGCGTCTCAGGCGTGTCGGACGTCTCAATTGCTAAGGCGATTGGAACCATCGGACGCCGCAAAAGCCTAGCTGGGCGCAGCAGCATCACACATCACAACAAGTACAGGGACCATCTGGACCCCTTCCATCTGGACCCCGTCGCACGGGACCCACGGAAGCATGTTGTCAGAAGACCTCGGGCATGAAGAGCACTGTAACTGGTGGAGCCATCTCCCTCGTGCCAGCTTCAAGCATCCCTCCAAGCCCGGGACATACGAGATGGCGAGTTCTCCAGCCTGAGGGCAGTATTTGTTCTTATCTTGACCTCCCGAAGTCGAAGCGCACTGGGGCTCCAACTCCCGCTCACCGCCCGGCATTTGTCCAGGCCTTAGCTTAACAAATTTTTCTTCGAAGGATGCGACCCTGATGTTTCTGTCAGGTCCCGGCAACATTGGGAAGAAAGGCATCTGCCCGCATTGCCTCGTGTAGCACGTAGTCATTCGCAAATCTAGGCACAGCGAGCTGACCGAGATGCCTTACTTTACAGACATGGCGGGATTACGCTCATTCTCAAGCACATCAAGCATCCGCACAAATCCCTGTTTCACAGTGGTGCGCACTGCTGAAGGAACATGCCGCAGCTAGAACTGGGTTCAAGGCATCTGCCCGTACTGTCCGCCTTGTTCCATCTGCCCAGGAGCCTGCATCCTGAAATCTCAGCAGCCGAGGCGAACAGCCTTCCCCGAGCATCCATGAATCATCATGCATCCGATATAAGTAATCACTGATGATACTCACAATGATTAACCTCCTTGTGGATCAATGTCAATCCTATCCAAATACTCGCATAACTTTCCACAATCCACTTGGGTGTCCTCTCATGCCTTGATAGGACTGGTATGACTGCAGTTTTAGGGGGCGGCTCAAGCACGCCCGTGATGCTAGGGTCCCTGCATGTTTCGCTCCTGGCCGATGGAAGCTACTTGCCCTCGATTCTACGTGGCATGTCACTGCAGCCAAACACTTTGAATGGAAAGCTTTCCACAGACCTTGGGGTCATCCATCCTGGGTTTGCCTGACTCAGCGTGGAACGGAGGGGACCTCGGTGTGGCAAGGGCCACCTCAGAGTTGCTATGACTGCCGACTGAGCCCGCAACAGAAAGTCAGTGACCCAGCTTTCAGGCAATGCCTGGAGAGCTCAAAGGACGAGCACTGGGCGAAAGCATAATTGTCTTCTCTCGCATCTCCTGTGAACACAACCATCCGTGAAAGAACTAAGATGCACTAATCTTCTACCAGCAGTCATCGAGTGTCGAAGTTTGGTTGCTTGTGAACGCTACAAGCCAACGTGCCTCTACCGGGAGTGGCTTTGCGTAGTCGACATCATCAACCGGAGTCGTTCGACCTTGATTTGCAAAGTCTTGAGCTGGAGCTTTTGCGAGACTGAATAAGAACAGCGGAAAACAATGAGCAGTATTGACAGAAAGGGGAAAAAAGTAGAGTAGCGTCACGGTTTTGGAACCAACGGAGTGCGTGCAGCGTCCATAGGCCCATGGAACAGCTACCTAGTTGGGACCCACTTGTTCAAGCCTTAGGGTACCGAAAAGGTACAAAAACTGGATTCCCTGGCCCGTTTTCGGTTCGAAGGTGTCGAGGACCCGAGGCTTCGCGAAATTGGTTAGGTGATTCCAACAAAAAAGCACGGAGGGAATCCGCCTGGTCAAGCATACAGCATCGCTACTCGTGTTTGCATCCGGAAGTAATATGCAAGCTTTCCGTTATTAGTACACATGGATCTGTCATTAGTTGCGCAGCTTCTGCTATTAGTACATAGTATTGAGCGTTTGCGGATCTTACCTTAGTCGTTTTGGGTTGGTTAATCTACATCAAACGCGAGCAGGTGGAAAAAGCAAAACATAGGTTTTGGTTCATTGAACATGCTCTACCAAACAGGCCTCCCTGATTGCTCTGGCAATCAGTCCCGGCCCAAGTTCAGAGTTATTGAGTTGCTTGAGTTGCAAGATCTACGGACTGGGAAAACTTGCGAAAGAACGCACGAAAGCTTCCAAAGCTAGCAACTGAACTCACTTCAAAGTGCTGATCTGATCTGTTGCTGTCTGCTGGGAGTAGCGGCGCTCATGGCGATGGTGGTAGAAGGCACAAAGCTTGTGCCGGGGACATGCCTCCAGCTTCAAAATCGACTCCAATCTAAACACAAAGTTCATTCTGTGAGTAAGAGATCCAAGCTCTGTGCCTTCCCGCGAAGGTCTCGGCACACGACGGTTTTGAAGTAGTGTGGGTGATAGAGCTGCTCCTGAAGCAAGGCTGCTGCAGAACACGCCGAAGACTGCAACTCACCTCCCATTTCGAGTCAGTCCTTGGCACCATGCGAGTAGGGGCAACGGAGGCCAAGAGGACACCGCTGGGAGTATTCGGCGCCGGTGTCCTCCATGCAGAGCCCCCCGCAGGAGCGGCAAAGCTTCCAGGTGTTGAAGCCGGGATGCCCGGGGCCACAGCCTAGAGCCTAAGCTACAGCCTCAACAACAACTTAAGCAATGTACCGCTGTCTCTCAAGCTCACGCACGCACTTTAGATCCGGGCCTTCTTGCTCCAGTATGGGCACAGCCTTTGTCCGGTAGAGTCGGTAGAAGGGCAGGCGGCTTGACTAATTAACAAGAAAGCGGGTACTATCATTACATGCAACCATATGTAACCACAAGGTTTCATATTCCGTAGCAACCTGATCTTCAATGTACACGTGCCCACATGCGCCCGCTGCAGCACTCGACGTGAATGTCGAAAGTTCTTGCATCTGGTAACTGTGTGCGAATAGCTGAAGTGAGTAGATCCGACGAGAGGATGGACACGGTGCAAATCTTGTGCATCTGCGGGCATGTCCTAATGCAGCTGAACTGTGCGAGCGCAAAAGAATCCGGCGAATTGTTTGTTGCTGATTCTGCTGGCTTTCTGGCTCCGGGTCTCTGCTGAGATAGCGACCTGGCTCCGTACCCGATGGTGGGGGGGCGTCGCGCATCCTCCGACGCACAGCGAGACCACCAGACTCACTTCGTCCACCGTCACGAACAAGACTGCAAAGATATTTCAAGCATTCAAACTGGAATCCTGGACTGTCTGGAGGCCCGAGGCTCATCTGTTTACAAATTTGAGATGCTTACTTACGCCCACCCTGGCCTGGTAGTTGTGCGCATAAACGCAAGTGTGCCACTCGTGCTGCACGCCGATTGGACACCAGCTCGTCTTGTACTTGTGCATGAAAAAGTCGTCAGTCAAGGCATGTGGCTCCTGGCTGCGGGTCACTTGAGGGTCTTCAGGGCAAACGTATACTCTTGGGAAGAACAAGTTCTTCCTCCCCGTTGCTGCACAGGCTCCTGGTTCTCCTCAGCGATGGACAGAAGCGGAACTCCTATCTCCTCAGACAGGCTTCAGATGCCCAGGAAGCTGCAGCTTCGGACGTGAATCCTTGTCTTGACAGCAAACCTGCCTCGCGGGAGTGTGCGAAGGCGCAGCCTGCGCCGCGGCGACACTGACTGACCTTGCCACGTTCGAACGCTCAGTACCAAAAAAAGATAAGTAGGGTATCGTGGGGCTGCAACAAGGCTTCCACAGTCTCGAGTTTCTGAGTCTGAGTGTCGCTCATCTGGATAAGAGGTGCAAAAGCGCCGCTTGGATTTGGTGGCACCGTTTCGGTTCCTGGTCGAGCAGCACCGAAAAAGGACTCGAGAGGAGCAGACGAAACCTTCAGCGAACTCGGCACTGAGACGTGAACCCTATTTTCTGTCGCACAGATGGTAACGAAGTTTTTCAGGATGATGCAGGTATTCGGAGCAGAGCATTGCAGAAACATGGAGCCAGAGCCACAACTTGGTGTGTGCACATGGATGCTACGGGTGCTGCTCTTTCGCACCTCTGCCACCCGTCGTTCATGGCCTCGTTTGGGCCGAGTCGGATCCATGTTGTCGTTTAGTGCTTAAGGCTGTCGGGCCAGGCCAGGGTTTAGAGAAATGCGCTAGCAGTGGAACAGGCTTTCCCTACAAGCATCTGGATGCCGGGACCCCGCGCCATCGGCATCTGCCATCCGGACTTAGCATCGAGCGGAGCGCAAAGTGCCAGAGCACATCATGCTCAATTTAAGAACGGTGTCGCCAAGATCACTTGCGATTATGCCACATGCCAACTCTCGACAAGGCTTGAGTACAAACTGGGCCCCTGTCTGTCCAGTCACTTCCACCTGTGCCTGCGACAATGAGACGGACCGAATTGGACAAAGCACTGACGACTCTTTCGTGGCCGGCCTTGTCCTGCAAAGCCGTATTCTCCGCCGTCAGGCCTCCACTGCTCCTGCAACGACATGGAGCAAGGCAGGCAGCAGGGTTTCACTGCGCAGGCACAGACAGCGCAGACGACCAATGCCCCACCAGTTCACCACTTTCCGTTTAGACTCGTTGCCGTGTCCTGCCAGTAGCCGCCGCCTTGCTGAGCCTCGGCTGTTGGCGATCAATGAAATGGCAGGGATGGTCACCCACGCCCCGAAGCGCAAAGTCAGAGGAAGCAGGCAGCCCTGATTTTGAGGAGCGCTGAGACAGCAACTGCCCATGGACGGTCTCGCGAATCAAACTCCATGCCTTAACGGCATGTGGATCACACTCAGCCTGCATACTTTGGGGAGATGCTGCTGGGTTCTTCCAAATCGAAGAGATCGCGGAACAAACTTGCACAAACAGGACAAGCCCATGCGGCTCCAAAAGCAATGCCATCTGGGTCAACTCACATGCCAATCAGTCCACAGGAGCACATGTAACAAGCAGGAGCACCTTGGTGTGGGCTGTCATGGTACTTCATGCCATCATCTGGCCAGGGACGGGAGTGGCGTCCACACACGTAGGGTCTGGTACCGGCGGCAGGTATGCAGCAGATATTCTGAGGCTTACTCTGACATGTACACATGAGAACCCTGACGACTTCACCAAGTTGTGACAGCAACCCAAGACAAGCCGGAGCACCCTGCGGTCTGACCTGTCCGAGCGCTTCAAGAGATGAAGAACAACACCAAACTCTTGCAGACCGAGTCCATGCAGTACTCGCGACTCTCGGAGTGAGCGTGGCGCTTGGACGCTCTCGTGAAATGAAGCTGTGCCTCTGATGGGTACTCGGCAGGATTGAGGTCCAGAGTGGCCATGACGACTGCCCGCACCTTCCTTGAGACCTATTTGGCTGCGTAGGTGACGCATCTGAACCCTTGCCATGACATGCCACTCAAACAGTGGATCGGGTCCCGATGGATGCTTGTCCCAGAAAGCCATGATCTGGGAAACCTCCCAATTGCATGGGCTCCAGGAAAAGGAAAAGAAACCGAAGCAGCATGTGGGAATGTTCCAATGATGCAGCCTTCAGCTGAGCCAGCCGAAGGCTGCAGTCACAGGACGCATTGCAAAGCATGAACCGCAAAGATCTGACGCTTTGTTCTTGTACCGCACCCAGCGCACAGTTGGCGCCACGGGCTGAAGACGCGCGTACAATGCCACGGAGCTGATACTGGGAATCGACATCTGCTGGCCATGCTCATGGGAGGAAAGCTTGCTCATGCATGTTCAATCACTATAAGAAACTACACCATTGAGAGGTCCGATATGATGCACAATTCAAGCTGCCATGCAACTGCCCTGACTGGAAGGTGCCTGCACGGAACACGATCTGATGTTCTCCGTACTGTAGAAGTAGGGCATCAGCAGGACGTGGCCGAACTATTTGAAAGTCACTCACAAGCCCAGTGCAGCCTCGCTTTAAGCTGAACGCTGGGCTTGCAAGCGTCATTAGCTCACCGGAGTAATCATTTCCTGCGGTGGACACGATCCAAGAGCAGAAGCCTTTTTTGCTGCAAACAAAGCCCCACCTGCTCCAGAGTTTGCCCGAAAGCTTCTGTCGCTCCTGCATGAGCATGATTCCATGATTCTTTCAAGCTGCAAGCTTTGTCCCCGCGTGTTGAGCGCAGATACTTGCAGGCGCCTGTTCTGCCAGCGTTAGGTCCGGCTTGAAGCGCTCGACCTCACTTCACCCATCAGCTTCGGGCTTCTTGCATTCGCCGGCTTCATGGCTTTGCCAGAATCGGGCGTCAGTGGATGCCGTGAAAGGGGTGGCTCAGAAGCAGCTTCAGACTGTGTCTGCTCGAAACGCACACACACACACACAGAGACACACAGAGACAGAGACGAGAACACACACACACACACAGAGAGAGGACGGAGTAAAACCTTCGCCTAGAAACAGCGTCGGGGAAAACAGCTTTTTCAGAAAGTGTTTCTGTCAAGTTCAAAACAGTTCGACGAACTTGCACAAGCTGGAACAGCTCAGAAGTCGAAGCAAACGAAGTGACATGATGCAGAAAAGCATCGGAATGGTCAGGTCCCGGGCGACGCTCAGCTTGCCAAAGTCGCCCTGGCCGGAATGCACCGGTGGTGCAATCACCGGCCGGGTCCGGACCTCGGCCGACTTCAACTACTCAAGGGCTCACTGCTCGTCTCAAGTGCGAGTAGGTGTCACTGCGACGAGCATGCTTGCAACAAGAAAAAGGGCACTGGCGATGCTGTTTGCATAGCCGAGACACCTTGGAGCCCCTGGGAGTACGCAGCCCAACGCCGACGCCGATGCCTGTAAGCAAGCATGCAGAAGCGCTGGGCCACCCACCCATGAGCACTCCTCTCGGAACAAGCTTGGATCAAGTCGGAGTGGCCTGCTTCCAGCAAAACCCTTCATGAACATTGCCTGGAACGCTCCCACTGGTCGAAGCCCCCCCTTCTCGACGTGCACCTGAACACCACCAACGGCATCAATTGATGTTTCTACGAAGCTGAACTACAAAGTCGACAAAGGCATGCTCCACGGTCCAAATGCCATTCGTTGCAGCGGTATGTCTTCAAGTTGTCAAAAATTTCGTGGTTGTTGGGCTGAAGCTCTTGAAGGTGTTCTCTGGTCTCGTGACAGAACAAGTATCTCTACTCCCCCACAAAACACCACACCGGCAGGCCGCAGCCGCCAGCTGAAAGGCCCAAGGCTGTATGCCCTTGAAGTAAGCGGCTATTTTTGTTTGTGCCTGTGGTCTTCCAAATGCTTGCAAGTATAAGTGCGTAAGCGATTTCCGTTGCACTGGGGGTACGGGACTTTCTTGAGGGATCGCCATTGCAAGGCAGAGCGAGAATGTGCGGCGGATTTAGGTGAATACAAATGTTGCTCAAAAAGGAAGACAAAATTATCAAAATGCATAACAAATGCAAAGCTTGCATACCTGTATACATACCTAAAGAGGTGGCTGCTCACAAAAATTTACTCACATTAACATACACAAATACCCAGACATACACATGTAAGCTCACATGTTTATAAACGAACAAGTGTTTATAAACGAACAAGTATACAGTGTATAGACCCAGACAAGCAGACAGACAGACAAACAAACAGAATCATACAGATGCACTGACCTACTTACAGCTACTCACATACAGCTGCAAATAGATGCTGGGGCACAGACTGTGGTATAAGAGTCGACGGTGATGGTAAGTTGATTTCGCTCACAAGCTTACATGCCATGGCATGCTGTTCCAAGCTGTCACCAGAGCAAGGAGTGATGCTCTGCCATCCGAGCACCTCTGCTCTGCGGGTTGTGACATCCCCATTACGCTTACCAGAGCAGCAATGCTGGAAGCATCGTGACGTCCATGTCGCCAGAGCATCCTGTTCCGAGAGTATCCACGGCCCGCGAGGACGACAACGATGCTTGCAGCATGCGTGACATGATTTTCGCGGGTTTCACGGTGCAAAAACATCATCATTGCAAGATTATTCACATCGTCTCATTTTCCGGATGTCGATGTCCTTGACGGTCAGGTCGAACGAAACGAAGGTGACCAAATCATCGTCATGTCCGTGTCGCATGCATCAGCATGCCAGCGTCAGGTGTTCCCAGCAGAATCAAGGACTGTCAGCAACAGCATGCTTGCTTAGAAAGAGATAACCCGCGACACAGAGCACACACATACATACATACATACATACATACATACATACATACAGTATACATACAGTATACATACATACATACATACATACATACATACATACCATGTCCCATAGGGAAATCTCCCGCCTGCAGCTCCGGCCATGCCAGCGCGGCGTGGACTCATGCCTGAGTTCGGTTCATCTGGCTGGACCACGAGGCACTGCATACAGGAAATCCTCGAATCGGACAGATATTGTGAGGCAGCGACTGCTCCAACGATCATCATCTTCCTCCGGTCCCCGGATGCCTTCTTTCACCGGGGGCGGCCTCAAATTCGCTGAAGGCCCTCGCTCAGCGTTTGCAACCTCAACCTTGAGCTGCCAGCTGGTCACACCAAGTGCTGGTGTCTGAAATCCTGTCACGGAGTCACGGATCGCCAACCGACACTTTGAGTGAGCTCCATAATTAAGTGGCAAAGCTGCGGCGGAGTTCGAGTTTCGACTCTCGCTTGGGCATTGCTGTGCCCTCTCCCGGTAACTTCCTCCACTCTTGGACGCGATGGCTGAAGTTACCGATGCGAGTGCCATCGATGGTGTGCCTGCACACAGCAATGCATCTCTTTCTTATCGGCGATCATCCCGCTGAAGAGCTGCAATGAAGTCTCAGAATCCAGCAGCGCGACAGTCCAGTCCGCTGATGCCGACACAATGACCTCAGGCAAAAGCTTCGTTGTCGCGTCCACTCAACACTCAGCTGGTTTCCAAACCACACGCTTGCCTGACAAAATCAAAGTAGTCTTGAGAGGATTAGCGTCCCCTGCAGAGACAAACTGGATTCATTGCCATCACAGCCAACGATGTTCAAGTACTGCGTCAGTACTAGGATTTTATTCACAGCTGCAGAATCCGTATCGCTGAAGCCATCTGGCATTGGCTGGCATGCCAGCTTGAGGACAGTTCCGGGCCATCGCGTCGTTCACTGAAGTTCACAATCGCCTCCAGCCGGCCTCTGCAACACCTGCCCCCATGCTCCCATGATATTCGCTCTTGGGTCGCCACGACTAAATCATCCATCTTAAAGTGCTGCAACCTGGGTCTTCATGATTTGAGGCTGGGTCTGGATGCCATGCTAGAGCTGTATCTACTGACGTTTTGGCGAAATGCCCATGATGTTTGTGTTGCCTGGCACATGGACATCAACGAGGAGTCTATGAAGAGAGCCTCATGACCTGCCAATACCGGCTTTGACACATTGAGGTTTGCCTCTTTGCCACGCCACAGAAATTCTGGAGCTGTTGCCCCACAAGCATGCAAAAAGGAGATGGGCTGCTTTGCTACTCAAGGCCTGCACATCACAACAAAAGGCGCAGTACAACTCAGTACGCGCAAAAAACACCTAGGCAGCCATCCGGGCAGCCGTACGTGACTTTTAAGCTGCACTGAGCGGCCCACGAGGTCACGGCCATGCGGTGCAACTGCATCTCCTGCACAAGAGGCTTCTTGGCTCCGAGCTACCTGGCTACAAGTAGAAACTGAATTCAAGCATCAAGGATGGCCCCCTAAACCCAAACTAGTGGTAGCAGTGACGAAGGAATCAACACAAGCCTTGACTTTGAGGAGGTGTGATGGACACAGGTCCACGCGAATCGTCGAGAGGTCCCAGATACGGACCCACCTGACATGCTACCCAGCAAATGCAACCAGGACCCTCGAAGAGTCTCTGGCATCGCAGCACTGCAATGGTAACTCTCTTTCCATGCCCACTCACGATGTCAGAGGTCTCCCACCATTTTAGCAAGTGCTCCTGTCGCAAACTCCTGCCGCAGCAGGAAACGGTCCGAAACTGCAAGACAAGAGGCCCGTTCGCATCTCCAGTGAAGAGCCACCTTGACTTAACAAGAAGTCAGCAAGGCGGCAATGCTGCAGGACCTGTGTAGACACACTACCGGGACCTGGAGGGTTTATACCGAGTCTACGACTCAGGATATACATCACTCCGAGTGAGAACATGCCATGTGGCTGTGGGGCGCCCGCATGTTGTCCGCGCTGGTGTACACCGCAGTGATGGCTTCTTGCTGCACAAGAGTCAGCCCAGAGGCCTGAACTTGACTGCCGGCTTGCGCATTGCCTGCCTCTCGCTCTGCTCGCATTTTTACGCAAAGGCTTTGGGTACATAGAATACTGAAATGCGTTTGCAGCACTACCAACGCCAGGCTTGTTCTTGCCTCCTCTGGAGACTCCTCCATGAAGACCTCAACTCTCGAACGCCACTGCAATTTTCGCTCCCGATGAACTTCGGTAGAGTGTAAACCGAGTAAATTGTGGGCAGTGGGACAGCGTGTGGCCTGCTATCCTGGAGACCTGAGAGCTTGGCGAGTTTGCCAAGAAACTCTGCCTGCTTAGTCGACCTCGCGAGCAATCAGGGTAGCTGATCTTGACCACATGACTACCCTTGTGGCTCAGGATAAAACTTGTCCGAGGTGGCAGCCAGAGTCTCGCCAACTGGTCGGCGTGAATGGTCAGCAGGCACTCCTCGATTGATACCAGCTGTAAGCCTGGGGTGTTCGAAAAATACATTTCTGGAAGTCGTTGTCCTTAAAGCTATTGGGTGTCGCAGTCCGCAGTGGCATCTTTCGGATCTGTGGGTAGGAACAGGAAGCTGACTCGCTTGTTGGCTCGCATGGCTGTCCGGCTGTATCAACACAAACCGGGTCTGGAGTCCTTGTGTTCCAGGAAGATCGTGTGCTCCACGCTGCAGGACGTGAATCCTCTTAAAACACGAACGTGTGTGCTGCGAGAGGCCTCAACCTTCAATCGTAGGCTTCACCCCTTCAGAGCTACCTTTCTGCAGTTGCAAAAAACATGAGGGCGAAACCCAAGGAAGGCATCATCTCAGCAGACTAACCGCAGGCCTGCGTCTTTGTCAGACCCTGAGAGCCTTTCCATCAAATTCATGGCGGAGTGCCGTCGCTTCTCGCTCTCCTGATGAAGGGCATTCGACTCCCCGGAGCTGTCTGTCTAAAAGCTGCCACGCCATCTGTCCAACAAAATTAGGCCCTGCCGACTCCGCTTCCTAGAATCAGCGAAGTCCTCGGGCCACCACTCTTCCTGGCCTGCGTTTGTCTGCTGGTCCGAGCCACGAGGGGGAATCAAGGAGCCATCGCCGCTGAAGAAACAAAGCGGCGTAGCACTAGGGTCTCGGTCTTGGGAGACTGTCCCCAAGCTGAAAAATCCTCTCGAAGAAAACCCACCTACTTTTGCAATAGAAACAGGCCAACATGCTTAGCTCATGAGTTCTCGATATCTGCAACTGCACGACAACCTGAGGAGCGGCAGGCAATCAGCTGCAGCAGTGCGGAAGGCCTTCCCCAACTGGAGGAAGCCTTGGACAAGCACCGGCTGCAATTCACTTCTGTGCCTTTGCTCATACTTTGATGACCGGGGAGTACCTCCTTTGTCTTTGCGAGCAGCTGTCGCAAAAAGGTACGAGACGGCCACTAAGATGTCTGACGATTCGCACTTCCTGCTTTTCCTGAGATGCCCACGACGAGGTTGGAGAGTCCGGGTAGCCCTGTGCATGCAGGAAAACAAGAGTGCAGTTGAAAAGGCTGAGGAGATTCCGATGCCGAATCGCGAGGTGCTGCACCGCATATACTGCCATCGCCTCGCCTGCGGTGGAGCTGCATGGGACACCCGCTTCGTAGCCTCCAGTGCGGTTCACGCGAATCCTTGCCATCCCTTCACTTCTGAACATGACTATGTTAGGAGTCAGGAATTCAAAAGCATTCTCCTGTCTGACAAAAACATGAAACGAAACTCTGTGATGTGCTGTCCGAAATGAAGTGCATTGTCGACTAGCTCCAGTTGAGTGCTCAGCCGGCGTCGGCTCGCCTGCATGCGAGATTCTAGTCACTCTAGTCTGAGCAAGCTCGCCTCATTTGCGGAAGAACACGTGTCCAAGACTGCGCCTCCTTGCCCACCCTTCTTGCCCTTGCGCGGGTCCGACATTCCTTCCCTCAGTTCAGAACGCATACGGTATTGTGAAGCCAGTGGTGGTCGCATGCCACAGGGCTTGCAACTGTAAGCCAGCAAAGCAACTCCAGATACACCTGCCAAGATCTGGCCAAAGGCTGGGTTCCGGTGCGTCGAGGCTGCGTTCTTTTTGGGGGCCTCGTCTCTTCGAAACTCACGATGGCTTTGCTTCGAGTGCTTCGGAAGGCGCAAGAACATCACATTGCTCTAGTCTGACCTCGAGGGCACGGTCAGAGCACAGCACATCTTGGCATGCGGCGTTGGGGCCATCAAACAGGCGATATCTCCTGGGCGACAGTAACAGTGGGGCTCTGCTGTGCTGCTACGCTTCGCACTGCACGGGTGACTGCAAACAAACTGCTTGGAAATTCCTTCGGCTGTTCTGCATTTGCCAGTTTCTGGCTCGTTCTGTATGGCTGTGCCGCTCACCTGGAGCTGGCGCCACCACCAGCCGCAGTCTCCTTGAAAACCAACATGCTTAGGATCAGACGGCTTTGGGACTATTCAACGACGCTCGCTCATATGCACATTCATAGCTGCTTACAGATATTCGACTGAGATAGATATATATATATATATATAGAGTGATCAATTCGAGAATGCCTCCATCGCTGAACTAGTGCGAAAGTCGAGTAATTAGTTGCCACGTGCGGCAGATCGAAGGCACGAAACCTTTGGAGATCGCCAGGGCCACGTATAAGTCGAGCAAGCGATAGACAGTCTGATCAGCGGCTGCAATTCCACCGATCGGAATTCCAATACCGTTCACCTGTGCGCCCCGTAACAAGAAAGATAAACTTTTGCCGGTGATGGGGATCTGGCACTAAAGATATACTTTCCTGGCAAACAAGCCGCGCCACAACCATGGCAGGAAGCTCCCCTAAGATTAACGAGCAAGAGTCCGCAGTTGCGCGCATCCCTTTCGCTTCAGATTGGGCTACACGGATCACGAGCGCATTGCGGAAAGATCTTGTGAAGTGGGCAGGCTGAGAGTCCAGGCAGAGGGGGTTTCGCTTGGTCATATCAGCCTGCTCAAGCACGTTATCCGGTAAGGCATCTGCAACGTGAGGCAGATCGAATTGGATTGGCAGAAGCGGTTTTTTCGAGCCCTAGTCCCTCTCGAGAAACAGTTCATCAGACGTCCAGCAACATCAGACGTCCAGCAACATCCGAGCAAAAGGATCGGCAGCAGCTTGGGGTTGCGGGATTTCGATCAAACAAGCAAGGCCGGAAATGAATTAAGATCTGCAAAAAGCTCTGACCTCGCGAAGGTCTTTCCCGAAAAGATATCTGTTGGAAGATCCTCACCCTCGACTGTGACATGCTGGGAGCAGCCTGTGGTGGTCAGGAGAAGCCTTCTCGTAGCCCTGCTTGGAGGATCACAAGTTCTCCTCTACTTCTCGACTGCCGCGTCGAACTGCGGAGGAGGGAGCCAGCCGATTCGTGCGCGTAAGTGGCCGCCGATAGCGGTGGTCACAAGCAGCCAGTTCCGGCCTGACCCCATGTTCGTACCAAGCAGCGGTGAAAAATTAACATAAAATACCCTATGATCCTATGTATTGGTTCCTACGAAGCAGCAGTCCAGAATCAAGTGGACTGCATTGATGAAGCCTGCAGATCTGCTTCGTCCTGTCCTGGATCTTCCAGAAGCACACATAGCCATCATCACCTTCCGGAGGGCTCACCGCGAGAGAGAGAGAGAGAGAGAGAAAATGCGAACAAGATTTTGCGAAATGAGCCCAGCTTGAAACCCAGATCCGGTCCAACAGCTCCACACACAGGCAGCGAGCAAGATTCGTGCTGACCAGAACATGCGAAAACGTCAAGATCCCCCGTGACACGCGGACTACAAGACCATGCCGAAACATAAATCAGAGCACACTAAAACATCAAGATCATGAATGAATGAATGAATGAATGAATGAATGAATGAATGAGTGAATGAATGAATGAATGAGTGAATGAGTG